GCCACTTGAGGCCAAGGATACAACATTGGCCCAACCATTAACAATTGCAAAAACCAGTTCCCCACAAATTCTTAATAAATCGTTTTATTTTCAAATTAAAAAACTCCATAAAATTGTTCCCATGCGATTATCTTGAACGCAATCCAACAGTTACCAAGAGCACCTTTATGGGTGTACGAACGCCCGAACCCATTCGGCGTGAGATACTGTTTCGCATGTATATTCAAAAGAAAGGTGAAATAAAAGAGGTATAAAAGAGTTCAATGAAAAAGTAATGAACCGGAGTAAACTCAAACCAGTTCAGTAGTGTAGTATTGCCCAAGGGTCGGATAAGTGGAACATGATTTTTTTCAATAGGGAGTTATCGTGACTTTTGCTGGAGAACGGTAAACCGTGTTGCACTGGCCACGACAGTTTAACTTTTCCTTGTGAGGGTGGAAAAACTGCAACCTTTGAATGCCCTTAACTCTTCCCTCTTGGACAAAACTCTCCTGATTTTAATGCGATGCGAGCCAGAGATGATAATGCACAAACAGCTTTAAGTGCACAGTAAGAATTTGTGCCAAGATGACTTACAATTCGCCGGTAATAAGTAATTTCTAAAATATAATACCCATTTTCAATGCATCCATTATGCACATGCAGAAAGCGTAAATGTCAAGGCACTGTAGCAGTTGGAATTTTTCGTAAAACACCCAACTAGAACAAGTGGCTTTGAAGAAATTGATGAATAGTTGGGGGCAAAACGATCAATTTTCTCGGCGTTTTTTCAGCCAGAAAACACGGCGATTGTCTGCTGAAGACTGGGTCTTAAGGGGGCCATAAAGTATGAGTTACCGGTCGGTTCTTGTTAGTTCCATATTAGTTTACAAAACACGATCAGATAATAATCGATTCGAGTTAAACTACAATAAAGATATCAATCGCGCAAAAAGATTAAAGCCGCATGTAATTACCAAACGCTTAATGTCGTGGAATACTGGTTTAGGATTAGAGAGGTATGGCGAAGCGAACGGCTCTGGCTGCTCGGAACACTTGCAGCTCGGAAAAATTAACTTTCTTCTAGACCCTGCAGATAAACAGGCTGGCGAATCAGTGTCACTATGTCAGCAATACAAGAACCGCTAAGTCTTCTGTTATCTATGAAATTAGAACAATGATCGTCGTTTTGTGCAAGGGTGGCGCAAGATTATTGCAAAATTTCATGTTTTCCGTCCCGTTTTGCA